CCAGAGGAACTGAGGCAAGGAAGCAGAGAAGGAGACTCACAGGGAGCAAATGTTTGAGCTGAAAACTGTGCGGCCTGCACAGAAATCAACCTGGAGTTCACACAGGGCGGTTGTGCAGGTCAAGGTCACGGGATCCATCTGAACCGTAAAGTGAAGGTCCAGAGGGTCACGCTGAGGAGGTCAGCAGTGCTGAGAGCGCCTCTCGAGCCAGAAAGCCTGGCCCCTTACTGGCTGCGCCGGCCACTAGCTGTGCGCCCTTTGTCAAGCTACTTGACCTGTCTTGTCCCGTTGTCTGCAGTTGGGGAGAAATGATATGCCCACCTCATGGGGAGGGTGACCACACATCTCAGTTTGCTCAGGACAAACCTGGTTTATGCTGGTCTCCTGGCGTTCCGTCCATTTAGCGATTTCTTTCATCGTCCAAAGTGCCCCCGTTTGGTGAATAAATTTCATCATCACCTTACTCATTGGTTGTGAAGATTAAAAGAGGTTGTCAGCCTGCCCTTCATCGAGTAAATGCTCTACAATTGTTTGCCACATTCATGTTTTACTGAATGTGGAAAACAAGTAACACAGGTTGCAGGCAGGTATTGAGGAGATTTAGGACAATAGTGTGTAGATATACTAGAGGGACAAGTTGTATGTAAATTATCTCAATAAAACTCTTTCAAGAAGGGGTCAGAAATTTAATAGGGAGCACAGATAAAAAAATGGTTTGTTTTTGAACTTAGCCCTTTTGCTTCATGTGTGAACATGGCATCTCTCGGCCTTTTAGAGAATGTGAAGTAGAAGCCGAGTTCTCAGTGGTCTGTAATGGTCCTAACAGTCCTTCAAGGTTTATTTTCTCAGGTTTATAAATTACTGGCTGGCAGCCGACATGGACAGAGCACCTACTCTATGCCCTGCCCTGTTCTGAGGACGTCCACACTGTAACTCATTTAGGTCTCACAACAACCCTCGGACGATTCCCACTGTACAAAGGGACACAGCTGTGAAACCTCCACCCCAGTGTGGCCCAAAGCATGGGAGACGCCTGTTCTTGGAATGGCTTAGATACTGTGAACTATAGACACTTCATTGCCATCAAGATGTCCCGAAGAGCAGGTCCTTTCCTGAAGTGTCCGGCTGGGGAAAGTGCCTCCCAGCCCAAGTTCTAGACTTTGGCGTGACCTTCAGGAAGAACAGGTTCACGTCCAAAGCACATGCTTGAGGTTCATGTGTCAACAGCCCAGGAGGGGAGGGGCAGAACCAGTTTTGCAGAATAAGTGACAAAGAAGAAGTGTAGGGTACCTTGTCCCCAAATACTGTGGGGCTGATTTATACGACTAACTTACAATTAATAAAAACTCAAGGATCATCTGAATTTCAGAACCTTTTATAGGCTTTGTACCAATGCATGAATCACTCTGAAATAATGGCTCTCACTGAGTGTTACTACTTTTATTAAGTATGGCAAGGCCTCAGATGAGCCAAGTATTCATGTGAGCATATCTCAGGTCTTGTCGGAGCCTGAGGACAGGCCAAATAGAATTCCCTCTTACCGCATGTTTATCTCCCCGAGACAAGGGTATTCACGGTGAAATCTGTGAATAATTCATGTCCACACCATAGTTTGTCCCTGAAGGTCATCAATAAATGTCACACACACTGAAACTGAAGGCAACTTCATTCCTCTGCTTTCTGCACTGAATTTGGGAACCTGAGTCAAAGTGCCTTCTGGGAAAAGGAAAAACTCAGGTCAGCAATACAGGCATTCTTACCTTTTGGTTTTTTTCCATTTGCGTTCGCAAATGATGCTTTGAAATGAGCCTTTGTGAGTAGACTTATTGTATTCGATTCACCTGTGAATGGTCCTCATGTGCTTCTGCAGAAAACATGGAGGGAAAGAGACACACACTTTACTGTGGGTTCATGGACATGAGGTATGATTTTGTTTGCTGAGTAAGAAGCTGTGAAGGGCCCAGTGCCCCAGCAGGTAACAGGGCAGGTCCGTAATGACTGAGGCACCAGGCAGATTCCTCATACGCCTCCTTGATGGAAACAGTCTCCCGTTTCATTACTAAAACCATTCACTTGTCTTTGGAATGAAGGTGGCCAGCAATGGTCAACCAGGTGACGGGACATTCATAAGAACATAACCTTCTCTATTTCTAGCTTTTTCCTAAATCAATATTGTCCTTGGCAACTTAAGCTCCAGCTGAATAATGGAACAAAATGAGTTTTAAATAATCCGGACAGAGAATAATGTGTTCACAGGGAATTAACTATTGACTCATATCTCAGACTCTCTCATCCATTTTTTTCCCTGAAACTAAGCCAACTTTGTTTCTCTTGTTCCTGTTCCCTTCTATTGTCCCTGCTTAACCCCATGTGGCTTTTGCATTCTATGAGGCTGTCCTGTCCCTCTCCTGACACGAAGAGGCACACTTTGCACTTTTCCTTCCCTTGCCAAGTGCCATCTGCTCTCAGGGCCTGTGTACTTGCTGTTCCCTGGGCCTGGAACACTCTTCCCCAGATGTCCCCCCTGCATTTCACCATCCAAGCTTAAAAGCCCCTCTTCCCATGCTATCTGGACCTCCTACAGGACAGCTGCCATACTTGTTTGTTGTTCTTTATAGAATCACTTTCCCTTGATCTCTCAGTCAACTGTAGGCGTGTTTGTTGCCTCCCCTGAGAGAGGTAAGCTGCACTAGTGCCAGGCTCTGCTCTAACTTGTTCCTACAACTGAACCTGTGACATGTAGCACAGGGCTTAGTCATAGGAGAATCATGGTGGTTGTGAACAACGGATGGAAGGATAGAAGAAGGATGGGTGGGTGGGTGGATGGATAGCTGGATGGATTGAATCTTCCATAGTCCTGATGACCCTGTTTTAAGCTCTGTGATAGGCTCTTTACATAGAGTGTCTGCCAATCTTACAAAACCAGGCATGGTACCACTTATGCCCATTTTAGAAATGGGAAAAGGGAGTTCGGCGTGGCTAGCACTTTAACTCCCCCAGGGAAACAGTGTTTTTAGATGTTGCATCCAAGATTCAAATCCACATCTGGAGGAGCTCACCTTAACATTAGTTTTTCTTCTCACATTGTCCTTTGAATCAGTGGAAGAAAACCCCTAAGAAGCTAACAGAAACTGTACGAAATTTATCTCCATTTATAATTTAATTGATGAAATTTACTAAACTAAGTGAGATTCTCTGTAAAAACAACCTTCAAAGCAGCTGAGACATTAGTATTTTCCAGCTCCCGCCCCTGACTGAAAACGTCTGCCTCCCAGTGGCCGAATGTGGTATTGCGCCCAGTCCAGGTGTTCCCTGAAGTGGGAGAAACAGACAGGATATGAACCTTTTTGTACCTTGAAGATGGAGAAGAAAAAGAGAAAGAAGAGGAGGAGGAGGAAGTAGAGGGGGAATGAAGAGGAGTAGTTCAGGGAGATAATGAGAACCACCACAATGATAAAGCAACAAGGCTCACTATGTTTTAATTTGCTTTATTATTTCGCAAGCACGTCTGCATTAATTGCATCCATTTTCAGGTACCATTACTGCAGTTCTGAAATTGTTTCGGGTTCTAAAAGCTCTGTCTCCCTGGTTTCTACAATCCACACAGGCTGGCCGGGTTCTGGGTGACTCTGGCTGTGGTTTCCTGGCCCAGAGCCAGGTTCATCCTGTGACTCATTCCCTCATTGGTGGGAGGGATTACGGTGGCCACCAGGAGAATAAAAGGAGGCGTTTAGGGCACTCACCTCCACAGTGAGTTCCTTCTTCCCAGCCACATCGGTGTCACCAGCCCAGAACCGCTGCCTCCACCATGAAGCTGCTGACAGTCCTCATGCTGATTGCCCTCCCCCTCTCCTGCTTTGCAGGTGAGCGCTGCCCAGGAGGGCGGGCTTTGGTTAAAGGTTGTTGTCAGGGCCCCTGTGGAAGACCTCCTGTCCCCCAAGCCCAGAACAGAGCATGTCATTTCTCTAGTGTCCTCGCTTTTCATGGGTTTGTCTTCTCTTGGCTGTGGGAGCCAGGAAGAGGGGTGCAAGGAGGCAAAAGTTTCAGGGGTGGAAAGAAATCCCAAATCCTGAGTTTACTCTCCTCGATTTGAGAACTTAAGACCATTGACCATAATCTTTCTGAATGTGTGTCTGTATTGGGATGAAAAATGACAAACACCATAGCTATGCCCAAACAGGAATTCAGACCTCTGTAAGTGAGCCCACTTTGCATGTTTTCATCCCAGGTTCTGGCTGCCCGCTCCTTGAGAAAGTGATAGATGAGACAATTTCTAGTGACGTGGAAGTTGATCAGTACCTCAAGGATTTTAAAGAGTTCTTAGAAGGTGACGCCGCTAGAAACGCTGCAGCGCAACTGAAGGAATGTTTTCTCAAGCAGGATGAGAACACTCTGAGCAACATCGAAGAGATGATGGTAATTTTCATTTCTTCTTTAAGTGTTTTTAATCCACTGGACAGGGAGAACCAGGTTTTCAGTTTGTCACTTATTATGCCAAAGCAAGTGTTGACCATGCTTTGTTTCAGTGACTTTCAGTGTTGGTGAGTGTGAATAGTACTGTGATGTCAAAAAAGCCATCCAAGGTTCAGTACTGCTCTGTCTCTTTACTTTGTGGAATCTTGAGTGAATGAGAAATGAAAAAAAACAAAGGGGGTTGGAAATGCTTGGGCAAAGGCTCCCTTAATCCTCAGCTTAGAAAATATCTGATTATTATTATTATTATTATTATTTTTAAAGATTTTATTGGGGAATTGGGGAGGGGAACAGTGTTGGGGAATTGGGAAAGGGGGGAACATTGTGTTTTTCCAGGACCCATCAGTTCCAGGTCAAGTCGTTGTCCTTTAATAGTTGTGGAGGGTGCAAGCTTAGCTCCAAGTCCCTACTCTGCTTTCAATCTTAGTTGTGGGTGGGTGTAGTCCACCATCCCATGCTGGAATCGAAAAGGCAACCTTGTTTCACACTGAGTCATGTGGCTGCCTGTCGGCTTCTCAGCTATAGGTGCCATGTTCAATCTAGTTGAGGGTGGGCTTATCTCACCATCCTGTGTGGGAGCCCGGCAGTCTTGCTGCTAAGAGAACGCGCTCTCACCATCTGAGCGGCAGCTCTACCCGGGTGCAGCTCACTGGCCCATGTGGGAATTGAACTGATGATCCTGTTGCCCAAGACTCAAGCTTAACCAACTGAGCCACTCGGCTGGCCCAAAAAATACCTGATTATTGACTTATTTTTTTTTTTTTAGCTGAGCCATCCTGCCACCTGTTGGCAGCTCAGTGGCAACTCAGGTCGGGCCGGACTCGAACCGCTGTTGCTCAGAGCTCAGACTCTTGAGTGAGCTCTTAACAAAAATACCTGATTCTTAAGAAGACCTTCCTTCACTTGTAAGAGTGATCAGAAAAGTAAATTCCTCTTGTTCATAGATCAATAGTAAAACATTTTAAAGACTTTTCAACAGAGTCCATAAAATTCGTTTTAAGGATTATTCCATATATCTAATTATCACAATCTAAAATGCACTTTCAAGCAATCAAAGTTTGTTAGTATAAAAGATTGAATTCCTGACCATTAATTAAAGACCCATGGAACCAAGTGCAGATCAAGTGCATGAACCCGCCACCGGTTAGTGAATTGTTTAAAACAAAAATCAGTAGTTTAACAATGAGATAATCTTTTTAATTATGACAGATTTGTTTAGTTTTTACCTAGCACTTATTTCCTATCTTAATATAACATTTAAAACATTCCAGGGTAGACAATTTAGAAGTATTGCTGAAGCACAAACATAAAAGTTTACATTACTAAGAAGATTGTGAAATAGAGTGCAACATGGAAGAACCTGGAAAATATAAAAAATAAAAGGCAGCCAGAGAAAGACAAATATAGCATGACTCCACTTCTATCAGTTTTCTAGAGTAGCCAATGTCTTAGAAGCAGAAGGTAGAATAGAGGTTTCCAGGGGTTGGGTGGGGAGGAAATTGGGAGTTTTTTTTTAACAGGTATAGAGCTGCAGTTTAGCAAGATGCCAATGTCCTGGGGTCTGGTTGCACCGCAAAGAGAATATTCTCAACACTACTAAATTGTATCTTGAAAATGGTGAAAACGGTAATATTTATTTTATGTGTATTTGCTGTAATTACATTTTTTAAAAAAGTGAACAACCCCTGCGATTAAAGATGGTAGGTTTTCTTTCATTTAAAACCTAGATTAGAGAATTTAGTCGGTGTGCACATCTCGGATATTTTGTGGCCCACAAGTGATCTGGTGGAGGCATCAGACTGTTTCCTATATTTCTAACCTGTAAGACCATACAGGAACTCAAAAACTTCACATGTCCTTGCATTCGAGCCGAGATATTGAAAACTGGTAACACAGCATAGTTTTGTTAGAGATGTTATTCGAAAGAACAGGAAACGTGCAGATATATAGTCTTAGGATGTGGAGTACAATGTCTAGTCAATGGAATTGTGACAGCTCTATACGATGTCAGAGGGGTAGTAGATTGGGGGAAAGTGGTTATCACTTTGTGAGCGTTGTAAATGCTTAACTATTACATTGTTTTGTGCACCTGAAACTAATGACTAAGTAAATAAATAAATATTTTAAAATATTATTAAACAGACACCTGGGGTGGGGGTGGGTGAGGCCTGGAAATACCAGCACCTCGTAGGCATCCACTAATGTCCCCTGAACAATAGAATAAGTGACAGATAATTCTATTTTACTTCCAGCACTGTCTTTCTTGAGTGTCAGATGTGTGTAGACAAATCCAGGGAAACGATGAGAAGACATGTTTGTTTTTCCAGATTTTCCTCTCATGAGGAATGGAACGTGGGTGATGTCTCTGTTTTTGTTTTCCAGCATATAATATATAACAGTGACCAATGTTCTGGATATTAACTTTCCACAAGATCTTCCGCTCAGATGACTACAGAGAATGATCAGAACCCAGTGTCCATTGGTAGAAACCACAACTTACCTTTCTTTTTTTGTTTTTGTCTTTTGATCTGCATACTGCAAGACATAAATTGTTGAAACCTCAAATACATTTTCATTTCAATAAAGTATCTGCATATCTAAAGTTCTTTTCTTGTTATCTGATGAAAATGGAGATCTTAGAGAGACTTACATCACTCACGTGTGTGCTCGCACACACTCACACACACTCACACCCGTTACTCAGTGAAGAGCTCGTGGGTGCAGGACTGCAGAATCTAACCAGCACGCTGTTCCTCACACAGGAGCCCAACATCCACCCTCTCTCTGGAAAGTGTGTTTGCTCCCCTCTCACCCCATCTTCTGGGACGGCCTCTGACTTGCTCAGGCTCTGAAGTCCTGGTGGCTGCGTCAAGCTCAAGTTCCCCGATCTCCTTCAGTCCTCGTGTCCACACTAAGCTGCACTCACCACAGGCAGGCTCTCTGTGTCCTTGGCCCGAGTGTGCGGGGAGGGGAACAGAGCCAGTGAGAAAAGGGACTCAGGCAAGACAGGGATGAATCTTGTCTTCATGCTAAGATTCGATATATGGCTTCAATTTGGCTTTTAAAATCTTTCATTACAAAGTTATTTTCCATACCCCTCTGTGCCCATAGCCCCAAACCTCAGGGAAGATGCTTATTTGCCTGTGTTCCCATGCGTGTGGGCATTTACGTGCAAACCAATGAATAGGACTCGTACTCACCTGCTTCATCCCTTTCACACCTCAGATCTTTCACATCTTTTCCCCTTATGGTCTGTTAGGTACAGTTCCATAGTCATGGTTTCCTTCCTTTATCATAAGCCTCACAGAACCTTGATCCTTAGTGGAACACAAGTTTTTCTGGGAGCCGTATTGCGCTGAGCCTCAGGGTCACTGGGATTGCTGGGTCCCCTCACAGAGAAGGCTTTGCTGCCCAATCGAAGGGAATCAGTCACATGCTTCCAGCCCCCAGGGCTTCAGGTCCATCCCCCTTCCCCACATTTCACAGTAATCCCTGTGCCCCAGAGAGTAAATACATGACACAGTGTAAGTCAGATCATGCCGGAGCTTCCATTTCTTGGCTGGTGGTTCTTTTGTACAATCTGGACTCTGGAATCCATCTTCTCTTTAACTCCATTTCCACTTCCTCATCATCTCTGACCCGGACTTGCCCAGGAACCCATTTCCCTCATTGACCATCCTTTGAGTGGGTCCTCCCCGTGACCAATGCTTACAATCATGGTCCTTCATTCACGAACCTCTTTTGGATACATATTTTGTGTCAGGCATTGCTCTTGGTATCAGGATACATTAGTGAGGAAATACAGACAAATAACCCTTCCCTCGGGATGCTTATATTTGATCGAAGGGAGAGAAATAATGAACCAAAAAGAGAGGTAAATTAAAAACTATGTTAGGAGGTGATAAAGGTCATAGATAAAAATAAGGGCAGGAGAAAGTGTGGGTGTGCAGTTTAAATTAAGATGGCAAGGAAAGGGCTCTAAAGACATAGCATTTCAGTCCTAACCTGAAGGAGTTGAGGGAGAGAGTGTGAGTGTCTGGGAGATGAGTATCCCAAGAGGAAGGACACTCCAGGGTCTGGTCATAGAGATCTCCTTAGTTTTTACATGAATAAGTGTCACGATTATTGTAGGGACCAATATTTCAGGAAACAACAAATTAAGGTTCTGTTGGCCAACCTATGCGAGATGCTGAAAGGTGGTGGTTCTGAAACGTAGCCCGCATCTGAGTTACATAGAGGTCTTGGCAAGACAGCTCGTTGGACCTGCCTTTGGCTTTCTCATCAGCAGATGTGTGCTGAGGTCCAAGAAGTTGCGTTTCAAACAAGTTCCCAGGTGTTGCTGACGTTGCTGGTGTGGGAGGAACATAGTTTGAGAAGCAGTGTTCTGGGGCAACCTGCTGATCTCCCCAAGATGTGTCTTGCGAGTCTGAGGGTTTGGCCTCACGCCCAAGGCTGGGACTTGGGAGATGTGAATGGAGTAAAGAAACCACTCCTTCTTATCACCACATTTGAAGCTCAGCAGAGCAGGCGCTGTACATTCTCTCCCACTGAGTGTGTCCCCAAACTCTAGGTTGTGCCCCAGTGGTACCTGGACAGGATTCCCAGCACTATGACCTGCATGAGTAGGGCAGGGCACACAGGAGAAATGTTATGGAAATTCAGGAGAAAACCAGGCATTTCCTGTATTTTCCTTCCTTCTTCCTCCTAGGTTGTGACCCAAAGGAGGTAACATAGTGCCATCATTTATGGCAAGATTTGGTGAAGAAGATGAAGGATACAATGTCTGATGTCCAAGATCCTTTCTCTCATCATGAATCCCTTTGCCGTTCACAACTTGTAGCAAGAAGTGTGAGCACACGTTAGATGGATGAGAGCTGCTGGCAGGTGGTCTGTGGAAGCAGTGAGTAGCGGTGCATCGGCTCACATGTTTCCTGGATGAACCTCAGGGTTGAAATCTCGTAGAATCAACCGTGCACATCGGCAAGGGAAGAAGGAATAAAGTGGATTTGAGAAGTTTATAACATAGAGAACATTCGTATTTTGGGTGCCAGTGCCAATGCTTACAACTTTGGATAAATACCTGACAGATGCACTTTGATACTTAATTATGCGATGTAAAATGCTATTGATAAATGCATCTCTTAATGAGCAGAAAGAGGCCCTTCTTTGATTTTATATATCTGGATTACATCACTTATTATGAAAATAACATTTTATTCATATTTTCCACCTTAAGCATGTAAATTCTTAAAACGCTTGTCACATGAATGCGCAGATATAAAAAGAATGAGTTTGTAGTGGTGATGTCACTTGATTCTTTGAATTCCTTTGAACGATAGATGAATATTATGTCACTTTAATTTATCACTCAAATTATTATTATTATTATTTTTTAAAGATTTTTATTGGGGAATTGGGGGGATGGGAACAGTGCTGGGGAATTGGGGGAAGGGGAACAGACAAGTTGCTGTCATTTTGTT